GGAAGCGCATAATTACTTAACAAGCGGATGGGTGAGCCAGCCCAGGCTTAAAGTCCTGCCGGACAAGAATGTCGTCTGTGTCGCGAAGGTAAGTAAATCAGTAACCACAATGCATTTTTGGGTTTGTGTGGCATGGGTCCGGTATTCACAAAAATAGCAGTATTCTGAACCTGTGTCGCACGACTAAGGCTCGCGTAATTAGCGGAAAAGCGCTGCGTTACATCGTGGGACGTGGTTTACCGCGGAGCGGCATTACTCGGAATTGTCGGTCTGCGCCTCCAACATTTCACTTGAGCGGGACGCGGGTTTTGAATAAAAATTATTGGTGCGTATAAATGTCAGCGTCACGCTGCTTGACCAGCTTTTGCTTTTAAGTGGCCTCGCCGCGAGCGGAAATCACCCAGTCGCGTTCATGAGTGTGCGAGCGCAAGCATCTAACCCCGAAAGGTGCCTTAACCCCTCGAGAGTTTGCTCGAGTTAACAACAAAATGATCCTACTCAGCCACGTGGCCACGCATCTACGTTGTCTCCTGATGTGGGGGAAAAGTTACCAACGAGCTTATACTTAGTTCTGTAAATTTTTGCCCAACCCAAACCGTTTTCGGCCAGTTATACCATTGGCCATTTTGTGTTCGATGTATTGCGTGCACAGAAATGATGATGTACCCTTATATATTTCAGGTAAAGCACTCCCAGACATTTAGCGGAAAGCCCTTGCTCCCATAGGTCCTCCTACGACCAGACGGGGAGGTCCTGACCGCACACTGCACCTGCATGGCCGGCTTGGCTGTAGCCTGTTCCCATGTTGCGGCTATCCTTTTCTACATGGAGGTGGTGGTGAGGCGCATGAATAGTCAGGCCTGCACAGATGGGGAAAATGCGTGGCTGCCACCAACAGTCAACAAGTTGGTCTGCAAGACTGTAGCCGAGATAGACTTCGGTTCGGCATCCATGAAAACGAGGCAGCTGGACGAGCAAGCTGCCAGACCACCACAAATCTCATGAAGCATGTGCCCAGGCCCAGTCAGGCCATGATAAGTGCATTCTACGACAAGCTGAAGGAAGCTCCTTCCAAGCCAGCGCTGTTAGCACTGGTACCAGGGTATTCTGCTCCATACGTCCCAGCAGAAGGGAGATACAAGGAGGTACTCCTTCGCAACCTTTTCAAGGGAGGTCCTCTACCTGCATGGGAGGACATCGAGGAGGACTGCGAGGCATTCGCAAGCTGTTTGAAGGTCGACCAAGAGGTAGGCAGGTCATTTATTACTTTGCTATTCCAACAGCAATCATTAATCACCCTGTTCGCAACCGGCCTAGTTTCTAAATTGCATAAACTCTTTTTTGCATAAAAACCTTGTCATTACTCAACTCCACAGCCAGGCACGTAGCCAGAGGGTTGGTCCGGTGCATTCCCCAAACTCTGTTTTGCTGGAACCTGCTCTCCCCCCTCACCATCTACAACACTTTGTAATAAAGAGTCTTCCCCCCCCCCCCCCCCCCTCCTGCCTTTCCCTGTCTGCAGCATATGTAGCCATTACTATTCCAAGCTTCAGCTGAATTGAGACCAAAGTGGCCACGGTCTTTAGGTCTGAACAATAGAACATAAAGTTTTGATCAGTGAATTTATGCTGCCTTGGGAAAAATTACACGCATCTCGCTGCCAGACTTGTAGTCATTACTCGGTTGCTGGCTTCATTTGGTTAAGACGAAGTGCGGGCACTCTGGTGAAGACAAAGTGCACTTACTGTCATTGTATAACATGGGTGTCCTTTACACTTTTTTTGTGCACAAAACCTGTGCATCTTACCCCGATTTATGTTATGATATAACTCTCCTTCAATGTTCCCCAATTTTTCTCGCAGGTTGCAGACAAGATTGAGGAGAACACAGGAACACAGCAGCGATCAGCCTAGTGGTTTGCCTTCAGATCGGGTAGAACGACGGCGTCCACCGCAAGAGCTGTGTGCCACACGTCAATGGATGCGCCAGCACTGAGCCTCCTAAAGAAAATATGCCACCCGGAGAAGTGTGTATTCCAGAGTCCTGCGACAACCTGGGGCATCGAACACGAAGATGAAGCTCGACAGCTATATACCGAAGTGATGGGACTGTCGCATCCAAGCTTCACCTGTGTGAACACTGGACTGTTAATCCGCCCAGACTTGCCTTTTATCGCAGCCACTCCAGATGGGGCAACAGAGTGCAGCTGCTGTGGCCTAGGGCTCGTGGAGGTGAAGTGCCCCTACCTCCAAAGGCACTGCACACTAGAAGAGCTGCTACTATCTCTCCCAGAGTGCTTGGAGCGGGAAGAGAGCACTGGTGTGGTGTCACTGAGGACCACCCACACATACTACTACCAGGTACAAACCAAGATGCTTGTTGCAAAGAAGAACCACTGTGACTTTGCCCTCTGGACCACGGAAGCAATGTTTATTGAGAGGGTATATGCCGACGCTGCCCTTCATGAACAGGTTGTGATTAAGTGCCAGACTTTTTTTTGTAAAGGTGGTACTGCCGGAGCTGTTGTACATGTCCTGGTCGCAGGCAGAAATCTCGTCTGGAAACTAAAAATTAACTACCTTCCAGCACATGTTCAACTGAGTGGAAGAGAACCAAAGACAAAATGTGAACACTAAAGAAAGAAAATCCAGCCCTACTCGAATTTCAGTCATTATTACACAGACTTCAAACAACACAAAAAATGACAGGCGTGTAAAGAGTGATCTTTCGAATTGAATGGTTCATGCATTTTATAAAGGGCTACACAGTCTACAAAAGTAGAGCTCATGGTTTCCTGGAAACCTTTGAAAGAATGCAAGGCTAGGTGAAACTGACACATAGGAGATGTAATAAATAGAGACAAACTAGGAGAATGTGCAAGTTTGTTGACTGCAGCTGGATTTTAGCAGAACACCAACTGCTGAAGCATCGCAATCTGAGTCTGATTCAAAGTGTGTAAGTGAAACGGGGAAAATGAATGTCGAACAAAAAATGAGATAACATGTTATCACAGTTTGCCCAGTGCTTTGCAACACAAAAGATAATGCTACTTTTAGTTACATCTGTTCCTGCACTCCACACAGAGGCAGTTAAAACTTATGCATAAAAGAGTGTACCAGTTTTGTGAAAAGTGTGCCGTTAATCCTAGGCCTAATAGTGGATGCATAAAACAACTCTAGAAACGGAGGCAAGCCGATACTGCTGGTGATAATTTCTGGAATAGCCTCGACAAGAGAGCTCGGTTATATTTTACGGTGCATATGGGAGGCCCGTGATAGGTGCTTTTGTAGAAAACGTTCATGGCACTAAACCGCAGACTTGTCAGAAATTATGTGAAAAATATTCAAAACTTTGAGAAACGACTACTGGACTAGACACTGATAACAAATCGCATGGTGAAATATGTTCAATTCATTACTTGAAAAACTGAATATTCTTACATCCCTACAAAAAATGGTTTGATGAAATCGCAAAAGTTAATCTTGTCATGTGGAGTTGGAGCAATAAGTTTATCATTATTACCAAACCTGGTCCCAATCCTGCACTAGTCTGAGGGAACAACAGAGTCGCAGAGATTAGTCAGTGCCGCACAGAGAAAGACCGTTTGGTCCAGCACAGTCAAGTCTTCGTCTCGCAGCAGCAGCATGTCGAAGGATTGGGTTGCCTTCAGGATTGGGTACTTGTTTCTCACAAGTCCAATCACCCTTTCCACATGTACGCGAGCATTTGCAATTTTTCTCGTCCGCTCCACCTTCCAGGGGGCCAGTTGTGCCTGCCTCCTGGTAAAGGCAGGGAGGTGGAGGCGGGCACCACGCAGGCGAACAGACTCCGCGATCGTAAACCCCCTGTCTGCCAACACTGAGTCCCCTGGAACAAGGTTGACTAGTATGCCGCATGACTCAGTTACAGCCTTGTCAGTTGTTCTCCCGCACCAATCACGTGAAACAAAGGTTACTACACCTTGGGGTGCGATGTCTATCAGATATTTGACTGTGTTGTGGTGCTTGTACTGAGACCACGTCAATGAGCGTGGATTCATTGACGTGGCTCTGTCTATGAATAGTTCAAAACAATCTATTACAACGACGACATCCACGCCAAACGACATTCGGAACCCCATAGGCATTGTTTCCTGAAGTTCTTTCTTCGAGGGCCAGGAGATGAAGGGCTGGAGACACTGGTACAGAGCGTCCAGCCAACGGTGAACAATTCTCGAGATAGTAGATTCCGAGACATAAAACCTTGAAGGAAAGCAAAAAAAAAATGTTTGTAAACCTAAATGAAAGAAGTTCTGTTTTTCCCGTCCCCGTCGTCTGTTTCATGCTTTCACGTATTAGTATTTATTTTATGTTCCCTGCAGTGCAAGCATCTTATATTTGATGACTAAGAACATTCAACCGGAAACATCAAAATAATTGAGGCATGATCTTGGAACATGAGGAATTGAGAGATCCCATTATGGTTTATTCTGACTGCTGCACATTTTGGCTTGGCAACTCACTTAGTCAATGGTATTGCAAAAAATGTGAATGCCCAGTTGAAATACTGAATTCACTTTCGAAACCAGACATTTTTGCCTACATCCAAAGAAACAACCATCAAGAAGCAGCTCTCGGCAGAGTTACGTAATTAAGTTATATGACATGCAGTAGTCGTTTAAATTATGCAGCGCCTTTTCCTGCCTCCTCTGTAGGTCCCACTATGCAAGAAACTATCCAAATCCCCATATGTATAAGGTGACAAATCTTTCCTTACCGGTAAGCAAGGTCCAGCATTTGTGCGTTGAGACGGAGACGTAAGAACAGCACCATCATTTCTTCAAACTGGCTCAGGCAATTGAGGGGTGTGTGTGACAGGGAGCCCTTCGCCAGGTCAAACACCGCCTAGAGCACTTCGATGTTGGGGAGGCCTGTGTAAAACTGAACCAGCCCCTGGTTTTGTTTTAATGCCTCCTCATCCAGCTTATGTGCGGAAAGGTTGACCATTAGCGCGTGGATCTCGGCCGTCTGCACAAGGCTAGTAGATTCGATTGCTTCAATTCGCCCAAAAGTGAGATCGGTCTGCACTCCTGAAAAAAAAATATACAAAGAAAGAATTCGAGCCAGGCAATACATATTTAAAAGTGCACACAAACTAAAATATACAAATCTCGTTCAACAATGAGTTGAGCATGATGGATAATAACAGTAAATGATAATTGCATGTTTGTATCTGGAATGACTGGCTATATTTTTCGTTCCAAGCGGTGCACTCGAGCAAGCGCTCAAAGAAGCGAACGGAGAGTGTGATGCGTCATGGGATATTCGCCGCAAACAAAAGCACACGCAAAAAAAAAAAAAAAAGATTTCCCGCATTTGTGATTAGCAAGGCTGGCGGGGTTATGAGCTTTGACGTTGTTAGCGTTGTGGTGGCGTCAACAGTGTCAACGCGTTGCAACCGAGCCGTTCAAAGTACCCGTGGGGTGACAAGCGTTTCACGTGCGAGACCAGTCGTGCGCGTCGTGTTTGTGTGGCCCACTCCAATGGTGCTTCAGGAGGATTTCCTTGGGAACATAAACTTGAACAACACGAGTGAGGTCGAGGGCACCGACACCGTCCTCCCTGTATTCATTTCAGAAAGCGAGCAGCAGGCGTCGGACCCTTGTCGGAAACGACAAACGTGCGAGCCAGATCCACAGGGCACGAAGTTTCTCGTTGTTCGGAAACTTGTTTATTGGCATAATGCTGTTGATCAGTCGTTACCACAGTTCTCAGCCATGCAGAAGCGCGGCGACATCTCAACAAGTCCATCATGGCAACTTGTTGGCTTCTTTCGCAAAAGGGCAAAGAGCATGGGCAGGGACTTCGCAATCGTGTGCAGGCCGAGGTAACTTGCAACAGTTGAACATACTTCCAAAGAGTGGCGCTGCTTCAATGTTTAGTGCGGCTATGTAACGGTTCCTCCTACATCATGACTACACAGCAAGATTCCCAACGTTGCTAGATGACCTCCCAACTAAACTTCACAAGCATCCACACGGTGCACATTGAAAGATTGTTCAATTAGCTTTAAATTAAGTTTTCTCACGCCTTCCAACGAAAGACTGCTGTTTTTGAGGTTATGGTGCAACATGCAACACATTTAAGCTAGAAAATGAGAGCTGGAATTTCGTTTCCGTACCCCTTTAAACTACCTTTATCTAATTAGTTCTTAGTTTTAAAAATAAAAATTTTACATAACAAGTTTGATTACGTGATTTTAGCTTAATTAGCGAGAGAAACGATGGAAAAAGCTTGACAGTTTGCTGGCTGTGGCACGTAGACACAAACATTCCAATGTGAAGAATTCGAAGACAAAAATGTCCCTGTCTCTATACTAGAAGTGCTGACCAGGATTATTCTATGACTAGATTTACTCCAGAGGTTGACACGAAATGCAAGATTCGGTCACTTATCCTAACCTTTCCGGATCTCGGCTCAAAGAAAAGTTTGTACCATCACCACTTAAAATCAATATTATCACAAGAATGCTGCGATATTTCGGGCAGATCAGGTGACAACACAACAAGAATTTGCTCGTGACATCACCCGACAAAGAGCCGCATGCTGAGATCACTACAGCTTCCCGGCCGGCGTAACGAGCCAGACCATTTTTTAAATTTTGCGGATCGCTAAAATCAATTTACCTGCACTGCAGCTGGCTGTGTCGACAGAACTCGTTCCTGGTTGACTGTATGAGTGAGTTTCGAGGACTGCCACACCTGCATAAAACATTAATTTGTTAGCCCTGCACTTTTAGGTTAGTACATGTATTCATGCCAACAACGAGTTGTCTCCTAAACACTGCAACTCTGTTTTTAGATTTACTTTGGTAGAAACTATGCCTGGTTCATTCTTTCCTTAGGCTAGAATGATAGCCGGTCACGTGTGATCACGGCTCCAGAAGTAAATTCAATGATGATTCAAAAGATTGAATGATTCGACGGGGAAGACTACATTAACAGCTGGAATGTGAAGAGTAACCACACAGCTATGTCAGTTATGAGGTCAAGAAATCAATCTCATTCTCAGGATGGGTAATGGTGCAGAAGCACTAGTGTCAATCGTGTTCACGGTGAAAGGTTCAACTTGTCTTTCTTATTCAGGGGTGCGGTCAAGGAGGCGTAGAGGTTCATTCGACGGATAGGTTAAACGAAACATGTGGGCCGACATCTCGTACGATCTCACATCACATCACAACAACACGACAAGAGTGATGCAACAGTTTGGGCAGATGCGCTTGGTTAAAAGCAACAATACGACTAGAATGCTGTGACATTTCGTACAGATCTGGCGACAACACGACGAGAATTTGGTCGTAACACCACTTGAGAAAAAGTTGCATGCTGAGATCACCACAGCTTTCTGGCCTGTGTAACGAGTCAGACCTTTTTTTAAATTTTGCGGATCGCTAAATTCAATTTACCTGCACTGCAGCTGGCTGTGTCGACAGAACTCGTTCCTGGTTGGCTGCACGAGTCAGGTTCGAGGACTGGCACGCCTGCATAAAACATTAATTTATTATAATGCAATTAAATGCAAGGTTAGTACATGTATTCATGCCATAAACGAGTCGTTTCCTAAACACTGCAACTTTGTTTTTAGATTTACTTTGGTAGAAACTATGCCTGGTTCATTCTTTCCTTAGGCTGGAATGATAGCCGGTCACGTGTGATCACAGCTCCAGAAGTAAATTCAATGATGATTCAAAAGATTGAATGACTCGACGGGGAAGACGACATTAACAGCTGGAATGTGAAGAGTAACCACGCAGCTATGTCAGTTATGAGGTCAAGAAATCAATTTCATTCTTAGGATGGTAATGGTGCAGAAGCACTAGTGGCAATCGTGTTCACGGTGAAAGATTCAACTTGTCTTTCTTATTCAGGGGTAAGGTCAAGGAGGCGTAGAGGTTCATTCGACGGACAGGTTGACCAAAACATGTAGGCCGACATCTCGGGCAATCTCACATCACATCACAACAACACGACAAGAGTGATGCATCAGTTTGGGCGGATGCCCTTGGTTAAAAGCAACAATACAACAAAAATGCTGTGACATTTCGTGCAGATCCGGCGACAACACAACGAGAATTTGGTTGTGACATGTCTCGACAGAGAGTCGCATGGAAGGACGGCAGGCAACTGACGACAATTCGAATTCTATATTTTAGCGCGAAGGAGCAGAGTTATTCAAAGAGGACACATAATACCATTTCGGTCTCGTGTCTTTCCAAACCGTGCTTTTTGGTGTCTGGCTTTACGCCAATTGTACCTGCGTCAAACATGCACTTGGGATGAGCACTTCACACTCAAGACCAATAATTCACTAAGCTCTGCTAAATATTCTCACAACTAATGATGGAGAGATCTTTTTACCTGTGCATTTTATTAGCATACTTCTTCTTGTGTCCAAGAGACAAGCTGGGAGCCCAGTCCGGATAGTCAACGTCGAAGAGGTCGGATGGTTTGCCTAAGGATTTTAATGGTGCGTTTCACCAAATCAGGAAACAATAGGCAGGAAAGCATGACTGAGACAGCAAGATATCGATTGTATTTGGCACGGACCACGAATAACCCGGAAGAGCTGGCACCGGTGCTCGGCGCTCACTCGGATTTCCTTCATCCAAACATAATCACACGTCTAGTATCATAGCGCGAACAAGCCGCCGTCGGTTTTGCCTCATTTTTCCGAAGTATTCAATAAAAACGGCAGGAGCAATAGAAAGTGCTCATATGGGTCTTTAACTTGGGCAGCAACACCTGTGTTGGTCTAAATCATGTCTCAGCAAAACGCCAAAAAACGCCGATGTCGTGTTCGCGATATGTACAATTACACGCGGAGACCGGCGTTCGCGCACAGACCTGAGTACGGGGAAACTCTACCTGCTATGCTTTTGAAGTGAATCAAAACACTTACCAGTCACAAAATGAGCTCCGAAAACGCGGTGGTGTGAGGCCGCGTCTTTCATGTCGGATCTGTTGATCCTTGAGAGCCATTCCCGTCGCCTTGCCGCCGATAGTTTTGTGGTGTTCGGACACTCGGACAGTCGGAGAGCCGGGAATCGAAAGAATCCCACCGGTGGTGTGTTTTCGTCATTATTTTTCTTCCTGGATTCATTATTGCAGCGAAATACTGCGCAGTTCACCATGGCCTACTGGTACGATGCGTGCAACGGCGCCTGGACCTGCCCAACCAAGATGTCAGCCGCCACTCACAGCCCGGCTCTGACGTCACACGTGTGACGTATGTGCAAGGAGCGTATATTTGACTTCGCTAGGGCAAAACGTCCAGGTTTTCTTTTGTTTCTTTTCTTTTTATCGTCAGTCCGTCACCTATTTCTCTCGCGAACACTGTCTGTAAGTGAACATTAATAATCACAGAACAGTACAGGAAACGAATAACGAGCTGGATTACCTCTCAAGATGCCAACAAAGTGTCCGCCAACGTAGAGTGCCTTTATGAACGCAACCTACTTGAAGAAGGTGCGACCACTGCCGTGGATTTTATGTAGGTTCTCTTTGTTATCCATTCACTCATTCGGGTATCCCAAGTTCGTTTATAGTGGACTCCCCCTATAGAAAATATGTATTGTAGTTAAACGATGCATCTAAGGTGCGCCGTAGGACGCGATATTTAGCACTGTCACTATTGGCGAGGCCCTCTTACCCGTTTTTCTCCCACACACCGCGGTGTTTACCGAACACAAGGTCTGTGCACATGTGCACAGGCCTTGTGGGGATGTACATGTCATCGTTTTTAATAGAGCGCAGCGCACAGTGTAATGTAGAAATACCAGCAATTAGTGAAGTGACATTAAGTCCCGGATTGCTCCTAAAAGCAGTCATCGGAGGATGTGAGCTTGACCAACTTGGGCTTTTGTGCGGAGCTTGGCACCGTGCATGCTGCATTGTTCATGCAGGCCGTAGTAGTAACAAAAAAACTACCCCCCCCCCCCCCCCCCCCGGAGACCACGGACTCCAGCCGAACGCTAACGCCGCGTTCGGTTAAGTCAGTCGAGCGCTGAGTGATTGTATTTGTTGTCCCCATCCATGTAGTTCTAAAGTTAGGCGCTTGGGGCGCCATGGTTTCATCTTCTGATTCTTCTCCCCGATAGGTAAAGCGACCTCTTTCTTGTTGTCCCCGGGAACGCTTTGTAACATCAGTGATATTGCCATGCGCGTTACCCAGCGAACGCGTGCCGGATGGTTACCACGCTTGGCTCTCCCGCGGAGGCTCCGGGTCCGATACCAAAAAGCGGACTCCTCTTTTATTTATTCTTTCATCTTGTAAATCACGTAAGTTCGAGAACCTTGTCGTCTGATTGAGTTACGACTGTTCTACGCGCCGAATTTTCTACACCGAATGATCCAGAAACCAGCGCGTTTACAAAAGGTCTTCCGAGTGGCGGTCCGCAGTCAGACTCGCCCCAGCGCTCGATCCTGCTGTTTCGCCGACACCGACGCTTGCGACGCCAGCCATTCTCTATTCTGTTTTGGGCACAAGTTCGCCCCATTAAACGTTTCGTTTCTTCAGTTATTCGCCGCCTCATCATTTGTCATTCGTAACAATATCCTGCTCCTTATAGTTGGACCGCTTGAAATAGCCCTACAATACTTTTTTTTTCGTTTTTTGCTGTTGCGTGATAATAAACCATTCTGGTAACCCAGATTTGCGCAGCTGTATATTTGTCGTTGTCACTGACGTCGATACAAATTACGCAATGTACATTTCTGAGTATTTGTACTCTACTCAAGATACATTACAGCGAAAGCAACTTGAGTAATATTTTAAATACTTTATGAAGCAGGTATTTAGTGACTTAACTTCAATACTTTTATCGAGTACTTTCTCCGACACTGGGTTAAGGCATATCTCCGAATTCCAAAGGAGTTTATGGTTATCCCGGAAACATCTGTCACTACCTCATTCGCTCTGTATGAACATATTCGTCTTTTGGTTTAAGAAGATCCACACAGACCTTTCAGATGTTCATTCATAAAGGTATTGTTCACCTGCTTTTTATCTTTACCTACGTGGATTAACTCTTGACTGCAAGCGAATCACCCGAAGAGCACATCTTCCCCAGGCATGTCAGCCTGCGCTTCAGCAACTCCTGATTACGGGCTCACCGCTAATTGGTAAAGTGCACCATTGGTGCGACTGTCTATGATTTTTGGGGGTACCGCATGACACTCGCTGGAATTGTGCATTTCTAATTGAAGGTGTAACTACCCTATTGGAAAGACCATTTTGAAAATCTAACTGGTCAGACTGGTATTTGGACTGATCTAACTGGTATTTAGACCGCTCAGACTGATCTAACAGGAAATCAAACTGGTGAAACTGGTAGCCAGACTGGTCTAACTGGTAACCATATTGACCTACCCGGTCACCAGATTGGCCGAACTGGCCACCAGATTGGCCGAACTGGTCACCAATTTGGCCGAACTGGTCACCAGACTGGCCGAACTGGTCCAACTGGTAACCAGAATGACAAAAATGGTCACCCAGATTGGCCTACCCGGTCAAACTGGTCACCAGTTTGACTCCTCTTTCTCACTTTATTTATTGGCTTTCTCACTTTGATTTATTGGCTTTCAAATAATTACGGCATGATCGAGCGTTTACTTTTTACTAAGAGATTCATCCCCTGAGTCGTTCAAAATACTCTCAGAGGTATGACATTGCTGGAAAAAAATCAACATGCTGGGAATCTGTTTTATTGCCTAGGCGGTCACCGAGAAATTCCGTACGCTCAAGACGACCAGTATAAAAGAAGGAAACCAAGAGCTCGGAAGCAATGATCGGGTTAGTGTGCCGTTGTATTGATGTTTGTATGTGCTGTGTATGTGTATGCGCTCAATGTATGTTCCGCCGATGTTTGTAGTAGGCGTCTTGTGTCTACATTTGTGTATAATAAAGATTTCCGAAGCAGAGTGGCGGCGTAAACAAATGAAAACATTTTTTTGTTGAACCAGCGTGACAAGTTCAACCAGTATGACCAGTTCAACCGCCATGACCAGTCAACCAGTGTGAACAGTTCGAACCACCTTGACCAGTTCAACCATTATGAAACTGGTCAAACTGGAGCAATAACCAAGTTTGAAACTGGTACCAGTTTGAACTGGTCTTTCCAATAGGGTAATTCGAAACTCTCCACAGCCAACTTCTCTGCGCAAAGTGCGGGATATTCTGGGGCTAATCAGCATTCACTGGTGCTTCATCTCACATTGTGCAAAAATTATCAAACGTATCAGACCTTCTCCACACTTTGAATAAGTATTCGAAAAAACTACAATCGCGGTGGACGCGTTGACCATGGTCAATCATGTCATAGCCGACTCCACATATTTCATTACGATAGTCACCAATGCGTGTCATGTGCGACTTGCCAGATATTTCCATGGGGGCATAATGAAGCAGAACTAATGAAATTAAAATAAGTGGTTCCAGCTTGTGTTTTTTTCAGCAAGGCACAATACAGGACGTTAAAACGTGAGTTGTTCGC